AAGCCCAGGCATGCCTAACAGGAAGTAAGTAAGAGGATTAAGAGAACACAGAGTTTGGTCAAGAGACCTTAGGTACATGGGAAAACACCACTGTCACAGAAGGGAAAGATGTTAGAAACGATAGAATGTCCTTGCAGGAACAGCGATTTATTTGTGGAGAATATTAAACAACGTCTTGGGAAGGATTTTGTACCTTTCTAACACCCTAGCCCACATCATATCCACAATGTGTAGGGCATGACAAATTTATGGCCCTTCTTCCTGGCCCTTTCTGCCTTCCTGGTAGGCTAGACCACAGGGAGTTCTTCCCAGAGAAACTGACTTAAATCAACTACCCAACAACCCACCAAATTATGGGTCGTTTTTCTAATTCATGGGCTGTTCTTTCCGGCCACCTTGCCCCTCCCGGCTCCCAGCCTGTTTCCATTCCTGGTAATGTAACCCACAAACAACCTGTGACTCTATGTTCAGATGTAATGACCATCCACAGTTCACCCGCCACCCAACAGCAAACCATTGGCTCTCTTCATCAATTCATTCATTTATTTGTTTATTGGATTTTTATCCCACAGCATTAGGCAATAAGATTCCCTGAGTGGGTTAATCCATAGTCCTGCTTTGACAACCTATAATTCAACAACTCATGGGTACAATAAACCATGGAGAGATTTCCACTGGCCAGACCATCTAACTTTCTTGACTAGAAGTAGTGTATCCGAGGAAGTAGGCAGGTGGAAGTACAGTACAGCTGAATCGATTCATACTTGGTTTTCCTGCTCTGTTCCTCTTGCAAACAGCGTACGCCTCTCCAGTCTGAGTCAAAGAGAAAACTTAGCTAGAGTGGCCCCATCATGAGCCACACTCAGACACTCTTGTCTGCTGGCAGATTTACAGGGATGGGGGGGGGGCTCCTGCCTCCCAGAGCCCTCCCCCTGAGCTACCCAGGCCCTGATTATGCCCCACAGGCCAGTGCCAGCTGAGCTCCTGCTCCTGACAGCTGCCAAGCCAGGCTCCACGGCCAGGCCGAGTCCTGCCAATGCAATACAGCAGTGCTACCTCCTGCCCAGTGGGTCCCCCAGTGGGTCCACTGGCAGGAGCCTGGCTGGGCACTGTGCAGTCAGACTGGCATGCTTCCAGCCAGGGTCTGGAGCACAGCTGGTGGCTTTCTCTTCTCCTTCATATGCAGCAGCTACTGCACTGTAACAAAGAAAAAAAATCCATGTAGTGCAATGAGGAGAAAGCCGGTCCAACACAGTGACTGGCATGTTGAACCAGGTTCTAGTTGCTGCTCAGCCATGAGGCTTTGGGCCATCTGTGGACTCTCAGCCTGGCCTACTGGGCTCTTGTGAAGATAAAACAAAGAGCGGTAGGCCAGGAGTGCCTGATCCTGCCTAATCGTGGAAGCTTAGCAGGGCCGGGCCTGGCTGAAATCCAGATGGGGGACTTAAATGTTGTGAGTCACCCAGACAGCTTCAGCTACAGGCAGTATAGAAATGTAATCTGGTGGTGGTGGTGATGATGATACCAGGCACTCCTAAGGCCACCAGCATCGAGCGAGGCCACTGCAGCTGGAGCACCAGACTGGGCAGCACCCACAACCAGCATGGGGCCAGACCAGATAGAGGGAGGCCTTATGCAGCCCTTTCCAGGGTCATTCCTAGCAAAAATCTCATGAGAGAACCAGGTTTTCTAAAAACATTGTGCGACTTGGGGCTGCTTCTCTGCGCCACCTGCATTCAGGCTTGAGTAGAGCTGGAGGTCAACTTCTATTGTTGCTCTATCACACCATTTAGGGTGCATTGTAAGGTTGAGCTGTGCTTAAATGGCAGTGTAAGCCAGCAGGAAAACCAGGCGGGATCCTTTGGATTCGTCAGGAACTCTCAAGTCAATGCTCTCATCCAAAAACTTATTTTCTGGTGCCATCCACTCACCCTCGAGTTCTGCAATTAGGGGTCCATTTGTTTCCTTCAGGACTGCATAGACATGCTCCTTCTGTTTCCTACTAAGCATGGGCACCAGAGCATACAACCACTTCATTTTTTGTTGATCGGAGCCCACTGATATCGGGGGACATATATCTTGGAGGTGTTGCAAGATGGTATCAACATGGGAGGCTCGGTGAATCAGTTCCTCCTGGTGCTTTTCAATGAAATGCTCCTCTGATAAGAAACACATTACAATTTTAATGTTAAGACCTAGAACTAATGAGATTGTGTTGTACTCTTTTTGCTGTCCTCCTTCATCAGCAGCGAGATACCGGAAGAAAAACAGCAATTTTTGTACCTGCTCCTTTCCTTGCCAGCCAACCTGTATTACAATCTTTACGCTATAAAGAGTAGTCGAAAGAGAAACCTCACACACCACAGGGAATAAATACAGGTGAACACTCACCGGTAGAGGAAGCAATACACACTGGCCATAGTGTGTGGCCTTCTCAAGAGGCATTTCTGTCTCATAACTCAGAATTTTAGCTGGAATGAACTAGAGCAACCAACACCAGTTCGCTGCATGAGCCTTTCCTGCCCCACCATCCCTCCAGCCAGCTCAGACTGGCACAGTTTCCCCTCTCCTTCAGGGCTGGCCCTGCCATGCAGCAGACTGAAGCAGCTTGCTTCAAGAACCACCATGTGAACATGAGACAGAAGGCAGGAGCTGGTGTCTGAATGCTGCAGCAGAACATTAATTAGGAGTGGGGATTTGGGATCTACTTTGGGCAGCAAAATGTTCTGAATAAAACCATTCGGAAATAAACTGCTCTAAATAAAAATCTCTCTGTACTCTTTTGCAAAACTAAGAAAACATTTCTGCCAAGGGATGGGCCTGGGGATGCAGAACCATCTCTACAGTGAAAACAGGGGACTCCTTGGCAAAATGTGTGTGCTCTAGAATTCACACTGGGAAGAGATGCAGATTTCTTCCACTGGGGTCCAAACCCAATCTTTTGGGGACCACCAGATGGCCACAAACCCTTCTTCTGGCCCCACCCTTTCCCACTGCCTCCCAACTGTTTGATGGCGTTCTGCTTTTCTGCAGTTTATTTTCATAATAATGCCCTGAACAGTCCCTGCTCAACCATGAAGTTCACAGGACAACCACAGATCAGTCATGCTGGGACATCAACTTTTGTCTCCTTGGTCCAAGAACCCTCTATTGACCATTCCACATTGACTCTATATTGATAGAGGCTCCATCCACTATGTGAACCCTGTCAGAAAAACAGGCGGCTCAGTGGCAAAGCAATATCCAGTGCATGCGTAAACCCTGGAAGGAATATCCATACAGCCATCAACATTTTTTTAAAAATTAGACATGCGCTCCAGCACAAAAACGGGAAGACAATTCCTGCATTACAGCTTGCAGAGAGCTGGAGAGGTTTAGCCTGCCCCACATTTGCTACTTTATGAACACATAAGGCTAGAAAAATGCTCTCCCACAAGGGACTTGAACTTGCACAGCCGCCAAATACAGTGGCAAACATATTTAAAATCCACAAGATACTGCAAAGATACTGATGAGGTATGGAGTGATTTTCTTGTTAATTTTCACGATTACAGTTTCTCAGTAAGGGCCCGATCCTTCATCCTCAACTAATCACATCCCATGGGAAAAACACGATAGCAACAAATGCTGCCAGGGCTAAAATACTGCAGTCTCCATACTGCAACAATGAAAACCTTTTGCAACAGGAGCACAGCCTCAGGGGCAGATGTGTGGTCCATGAACACAAGCTGAGAAAGCAAATACCGCCTTGAACAATAGAGCGGAAAAGCAGGAGATATGTCTTCACGTAAGGAAAATAAATCATGTGCATTTACTGCAAAATGAACTATGCATACGGACAGTGTGCTTAGAGGCGTTACATTTGTCTCCTCAAGTCACAGGAATGGTAAAGTCATTTTTATAGCATCTAAAAGTCTCAACGTTTCTGGCTCCTTTTAGGTTTACCTTCAAGTGCTTCAATGATGTGACTATTGGTCGCTGCCAGGGCTCGGTACAGATGGTTCTTCTGCTGGGTTTCCCAGGCCTGTGCTATCTGGTACAGCGCTTCCATTTTCATCTTCTCTGTGGCACAATTTGCAAGAGCCTCATATTGCTCCTCATCCAACACACAACCACAAAGCTCCTTCAGAGGGGCCTCTGTCACTTGCTCAATCAGCTCCTTCTTGTGCCTGTCCACAAAATGTCCTCCTGGGGAAAGAGGTGCATGAAAAGTACATCCGCGAGCTTTGCCATACTGAAGGTGTGGGTGTAATTTTTTTAGGACACTTCAGTTTACTATTTTAAATGTGTATATATTGCCCTTTAGTAAAACCTCCCAGTAAGATATAGTAATGAAATGCAAGAATTGGCACCTCTGTCACATTAACCAACATTCAAAAGCATAAAAAAATTGTGAGAATGTAACGTTTTTGCCTAGTTCAGAAAGGAAAATAATGTCCCAGGGAGAGAACCCCAAAGATGAGGCACCACCCCTCAGAAGGCTTTCTTTCTGGTAACCACCCACCACACCTCAGATGTGGGAGAGGAGCGCCAAAAACGGCCTCAACACACATTCAGGGTAGTGTGGAATAGATGTTCCTTCAGGTTGCATGCTTGGAACCAGACTGGAAGTCAACTGGTTTCAGAAAATGCAATATAAGTTCCACCACTTGGTTATGGTGGTGGCTGCATTTTAAGCTAATTGCAGTTTCTGAATGGTCTTCAAAAGCAACTCCACATTGACTGGATTCAGAAAACAAGGTTGCGTGTGGGTTGCATTGAACAATGGGTTGTTGTGGATTTGTGAGTTACCATTTCGTCTGAAACCAACTGAACAAACTATAGTGAACAACCCACAGACCACAACCCAACAACAACCATGTGCTCTCCTCACCAGTTCTTCACTCTCAGCAAACCATAGCTCATCAGCATAGCTGTATCCAGGCAGCACAATAACTCACGGTTCGACAAGCCATATGCATCTGCTGAGTGTGGGCTATAACACTGTCTGGAGCCATGTGGCCATCGAGGGTTTTGTTAGAGAGCCTTAAGTTTGGAAATAAGCAACTCTGACATGGAACGGCTTGTTACAGGGTTTGTTTGAATGGATTGTCACATTGTCTGAACACGAGGGGTGAATCCAAATCACTGCAGAGTTTGGCAAGGAAGGCAAAAACCCCTTGCTGGGCAACCACCGTCATTGTCAGCTGCCCAAGCAGCACTTCAGGGTGACAGTCAGAAGTGACCTCCCACCTGACTATAACGGCAAGCTGGTTCAGGCTTGCCAAGGCCTTTTTGTCACTTAAAAAAGTCTTTAGATTTCCAAATCTAGCTGTAAAACTGATTTTTGTCTAGAGCAAGGGTCGGCAACCTTTAACACTCAAAGAGCCATTAGGACCCGTTTTCCACAGAAAACACAGGGAGCCGCAAAACTCTTTTGACCTCTAACATGAAAATAACACTGCATATATCGTTTTTCACCTTTATGCTATGTATAAAAAAACTGTAGTGTGTTGCATTTATGAAACAGATCAGGGGCTGTGCCGTGCGGGCGCAGGTCGCACATCGGCGGCTGTGCCGGCACGTGTAGCAGATCGGGGGCTGTGAGTGACGGAGCCACAGCAGAGGGATTCAAGAGCCACGTGCGGCTCCGGAGCCGCGGGTTGCCGACCCCTGGTCTAGAGTGTCCCAGTGTGATTATGAAGGGAATGCCGCAATTGCAAAGTTTTAGAAAATCGCCTTGCATTTCTCACATTTGTGGGTTAAAAAAGAAAAGTATTGCTGCAAGCAAGGATCACTTGCTGCTTTGGTAGACATTGACAGCTCATGCAGTGCTGCCTACAGCTCTGGAGATGAGGGTCTGAAATATCCTGGGGCCCTTCAGAAGCTGTCTAGGGTCCCTAGGATTGCTCCCTGAATTGATTTGCTACAAAAAGAGAAACCAGTGGGCAGCACTTAGTTTCCAGTGAAATCAACAGGAGTTAAGTCATGACTAATACTGTATTTACCTTCAAGCTGCAAAAAAAGCCATGGGTTTGTTTCCTTTAGGACACGACACATTGTGTTCTTTTTTGTTGTTGTCCAGCTTGGTACCAGCTGATACAGCTTCTGCATTTTCTGCTGAGTGGTCCCTTTGATTTCAGGAACTTGCTTGACAGTTACTAGGCAGTGCGCCACCAGAGAGTCCAATATGACATCTATTCCAATGACACGCCGAATAATCTCCTCCTGGTGTTTCTCAGTATAATGTTTCTCTGAGAAGAAATGGTAGAGAGACAGCTACAAAGGCTGAAGCCTGAAAAGACAACTAAGCTTTTTCAAAGCAGCCATTATAAAGCCACTGAGCCCCATGGTACCATTTCTACGAATCAAGGATGAGCAAAGATGGGAGCCCAGAGCCCTCCAGTCAAAATGCAACATGCTAACTGTGACATCACCCTTTGCCTATTTTACAATAAGCCTAGTAAGTCAGGTGCTATGCTATGTACAGCTTCTCCATCAGTCATTGTGGAGGAGTATGCATGTATGTGGATCAATACGGCTGCTGCAATTTGGACTGTCCTTGAGGGGAAGACTATGGGGCTCTCATGATGAGGTCCTGCATTCCAAACTGCCACTGTACCACTCCTTGTGGCTAGAAAACAGACAATAATTAGCCATGCAGTGGTGGTGGGGCTGGAATGAATTAGAACTGCCTGCCACTGGAGCATGGGAGAGATAGCCGAGCATTAGCCCCCTGCACAGAGCAACCACTTGGACTAAACCAACAGTGAGCAGGCCTCCCCCCATCTTTTCCTCTCCAGCAGACTCAGCCAAGACTTTAGAATCACAGTCCTTTTATTAAAGCTTAGCAGCACACAAAACAGTGGAAATCTAAGTGAGGTTCTTCTCGAGATGAGGGAGAAGAATCTGCCTACACGAAGAGCTGCATCCAAACTGAATCACGCTCTCCTTCCCCGCTCCTTCAGCAAAGCTTTTGACTCCACCCTTGGGCTGATTCCTGCTGCTTGAGAGCTAGATGGCAGGAATGCCAGACCCTTCGTAACTGGTCCGCTCTTTTAGTCTGTTGCCTTCGAACTGCATTAAGGAGCTCCTTTTCCACTGCTTCCCCCTCCAGCTCTTGAAATGCCTCCCCACTTTCCCAAGGTGGGCCAGTTCACATGCTCTGCTTGAGAATTTTCACTAGGTCGGGACTGCCAAGTCTGCTGCCCAGCTCTGCTTCTGCACCTCCTCCTCAGAACTGGACAAATTTGCCTGAGCAGACAGTGACAGGTGAGAGCTAGGCCCCCTCTCTGTACCACCCCAGTCACACCTATATTCACAGTTATTTGTGGGGCAAAAAGAAGCCTTTTTTGAACGAGCAACACTTCAAAAGGAGGCTTCAGAACCTGTGAAATCTTGGAAACTAACACAGTCGGTTTCTTGGGGCAACGTGCAACTCACCATCACTAGGAAAGGTGTCCTCGTGTCCTGAGACACTCGATCCTGCAAGAAACAGAGTGGAGATTCAGCAAGGGAACAACTCAGATATCAAAACAGAATACGTGATGATGCTTTCCTCTACAGCATTCTCTATTGGGTTTTTCCAAACCCCATCAAGCAAAAGTACAGGTACCCTGCTAAACCCAAGAAACCAGGAAGAGATACTTGGAAGAAATTGTGCCTGGGGAGAGGAGAAAATCAAATATAAACTTTCAGAAGTGTTACAGATGAACTTTTTTTTACCAGTCATATAAATCTGCAGAATAATTTCAATAGAATTGTGATCTCTTTTCACCTAAACCCCATTACCAAATTATTTTATCCACGCTGTGGTATGTTACCACTTGGTGCAGTTCATCTGTTTCCACCTGGAAGTGCAGGGATTCATGTACTTTCCTGTATTACTCATTTACCTTTAAGGGCAGCAATAAGAGGCCCGTTTGTTTGAACAAGCTCCTGATAGAGATGGTCCTTCTTTCTTGTGGTCCAGTTTGGCACCAGCTTAAGAAGCATCTTCATCTTTCCTGCATCCGACTCCTCAGCCATAATGTTGCGATACTCATCTGCCTTCAGGATCCAGCCAAGTAACCGAAACAATATCACATCCATCCCACAGACTTGTCTGATCAGCTCTTCTTGGTGCATTTCCACAAAATGTTCTGGAAATAAGAACGTTATTAGTGCTTCAGGTAGCTGCTTTCATGGAGTCCGGATTTGTGCTGCTGAACCAGAATTAAGACTTAGATGCCCAGTAGAAATTTCCAGTTTAGCAGTTAAGCTTGCCTCAGTCAGCAGGGCCACTCCAGACCCCCATCCTTGCCTGCCTTTGGACTGGGTGACCAATCCTTTTCTTCACTGGAAAGCAATAAGCCTTAGTTCTGTGGGTTGCCTCATCTTTTCTGTTCTGCCATTCTGTCAATTCCTTTCTCTCCTCCCTCCCTCCTTCCCTCTAAATCACACATGCAGATGAATAAACATAGCAATAGCAAGAATGAACTTCAAGACAAAATATTTTCATAATAACCATGTTTAATGATTGCTGACCACCTCATTTTTGTTTGTTTTATTCTATTTCCCATAAATGTAATACTGTAGATTCCACTAAGGACAATTACTGGTACTCAAGTGCATAAAATGGGTTGGCAACATACAGTCCAGCCCCCAGAGCCACTAATACAGCCCACATTTCCACCCCGTGCTGCTGAAATCTGGTAGTGCAAAAAAAAAGGGGGGGGGTAGTTTGCCACCATAATTCAGTGGAAACCCACTGCAGAGAAACTGGTGCATTTGAAGGAACTGGTGCATGTGATAGTGCTTGACAGCCTGTTGCCCCTGCCTAAAAGGGTTCTTTGAAATGCTGCATGTCTTGGGAAGAAGCAGGTGTTGGCACATGTCTCTACAGGAGTGTATCTGGTAGCAAACTGACCGCAAGTAAGTAAAGAAAACCCTCTCCAACCCAGGACCACCTTCATTATGAGCTGATGCCAACCACCTGGTCACCTCCCCGCCTCCTGCCCAAGTTGCTTATATCTCTCTTTCCTTACTGATTCTAGAAAGAGCCAGGAGCTTCTCTGCATGGGGCTTGAGACACGCGGCTTCCAGCACTGCAGCCGTCACCTGCACAGCATAATCCTCCTTGTAGCATTTGAGAAGCAGGTTGGTGAGCTTCTGGACATTTGCACTCTGCAGCAGCTCTTTCGGAAAGTTGTCCAAACCCTTCCTGACATGGAACTTGTTGAGTTTGTCCTTGAATTTCTTGAATTCGCAATCATTCAAGCCCACCAGAGTTAATATAAGGCAGTCACGGACTGTCCTTCCTGAATGCAGGAAAGGAAAAAATACATGGCTTGAGGTCAGCATGCTTTATTCTATTCCATTCAACCCTCTTATACATTAACCATTGGCTTCTCAGCATACATTAGTAATATTCTGTTCAAGCTGCTTTTTCAATCAAGTTGAAGACTGGTTCACATAAAAGGGCAGGCTGAATGGGAGTTTAACTGCATGGATCAACACACAGCTGGACCTGCACTGAGACTGGAACAACAGACATATCCTACAGCACTTAATTCAAGAACAGGTGTGCTGGTTAACGTGTTGGACTGAGGACCGTGGCGCTCCAGGTTCTAGCCCCCATTTCACCATGAAGCTCGATGGGCAAAACTGAACCAGTCACAGACTCTCAGCACAACCTGCCTCACAGGGTTGTTGTGAGGATAAAATGGACCTAGGTAAGCTGCCTTGGATTCCTCACAAGAAGAAAAAAAGTTGGATATAAATACAATGTTGCTGCTGCTGCTGTCAAGACTGAGATGCTGTTGTTGGATGGTTCCTCTGACTGCATGGGAGATGTTCAAGCTGTGCTAAATGGGGTTGTGCTTCTCCTGAAGCAGCAGGCTCATAGCTTGCAGGTACGCCTTGATCCATCTTTGGCACTCGAGACTCAGGTGGCCTCAGTGGCTCAGAGTGCCTTCTATCAGCTGCAGCTCCTGGTCCAGCCACCCTCCTATCTGGGGAGAAATAACTTGGTCTCATTAATTTACCCTCAAAGTTAGATTACTTCAGTGCATTCGATGTGGGGCTGTCCTTGAAGACCAGGGTCCAATGCAAGGTGCTAGTTTTATTTACAGTGGTACCTCGGCTCAAGAACGCCTTGGTTCACAAACAAATCAGGTCACGAACAAAAATTTCTGAAAAATTTTGACCTGGGTTGCGAACACTGCTTTGGGTGGTGACCAAGATTGCAGCCATCTCCCCCTCACTCCTGAGTGGGGAGATGGCCATGATCCCAGTTGCTTTTGTGCAGGGAAGGTATGCGTGATCAGAGGCGCGCTGCTGTAGGAAACGCAGGTGGAATCTTGGCCATCTCCCCTGCAGCTCTGCTTTGCTGCTGCTGTCTTTCCTGCAGCAGCGCGCCTCCGACCACGAACGGAACTGCGATTGCGGCCATCTCCCCCCACCCCGAGTGGAGAGATGGCCACGATCCCAGTTGCTTTCATGCCGGGAAGGCATGCGTGATCAGAGGCGTGCTCCTGCAGGAAAGACGGGACCAGCAAGCAGAGCCGTGGGGGAGATGGCTGAGATTCCTCTTGTCTTTCCTGAAGGAACACACCTCTGATCAGGCAGGCCTTCCCTGCACGAATGGAACTGTGATCATGGCCATCTCCCCAGCACAGCGTTTGTGTCCATCTCTCCCTCCCCCAGTGTGTCCGCGAGCATGCCCATCTCTCCCCGCCCCCCAACACACCGGGATGACAGGCACCTGCAGGGATGACAGGCACGATCTTGGTCATGCTGGGGGGGTGGCGGGGAGATGGTCGCGCTTGTGTTTGGGGTGGAGTGGGGGGAGATGGCCGTGATCTTTGTTGTTGTCACTTGGCTTCACACTTTTCTGATTTAAAACATGGTTACAGAACAGATTAACCTTATTAACATTGAACCTTATGGGGAAATTTAACTTGGCTCACAACCAATTTGGGTCATGACCAGAGTCCTGGAACAGATTAAGTTCGTGAGCCAAGGTACCACTGTATTAGATTTCTAATCAGTTCCATAAGCCATATGGCTCCCTGGGCAGGTTACAACAATTTATAACATATAAGTTAACTTTTGGCTTATACGCTTGGGACTACAATCACCATAGGAGTGCATTTCCTACCAAAATCTACATGGATGCTACACTCAACCTCTAGGGTTTTCCTCTATGAAGCTGGCTTGGAGGGGGGCAATGAGGGGGAGGGGCTTTCTCTCTGGTGACTCCCCATTCTATGAAGCAGCCTCCCCACAGCAGCCCACCTAGCACCACCTTATTGGCGCCTGCTTAAGATGGCATTTAAAGATTCACTTGGATACTCAGGAGCTCGAGAGGGAGACTAATCTCTGCTACTTTTTAAGAGGGACATTCTTGTTGTTCATCTTTAGCTGATCTAATCCTTTTACTGCTTCTCCAATTTTATGATGTTTATTGTATTTTATTACCTTGTTTTTGTGGACTGTTTGAAAACAGCCAGAGAACTTCAGTTATGGGACAGTATGGAAATGAATGTATTATTATTAATATGAATACAGGTGTGAGATTCCTTACTGGGAACACAGCATGCAGCAAAGGAAGTACACCTTTCCTCTGCAGCCACGGTTCCAGTGAACTTTTCCTCCCTTCATCGCCCTCAGCTAGCTGTCAAAGCTGGCTGCAGAGGGCAGTTGGT